AAAGTTTTGTCAAAAATGTGAAACGGCGGCAAAGTTAGGGCAATCATTACGCCTAGGGGCAACGCACGCGTCGGCGGCGCAGACGAAATGAACAGACAGCTTCAGGCGCGTCACTGACACGCTCCAATAAAGACGAAACACGTAAAAGAAACAGTTAGATATGCATGACAGCTCATGCGCGTAGGGGAGTACGACCGAAGCCTCGTTCTCCGAAGAGAACACGTCGGCTGAAAGAAGATAATCTTGGCAAAGCAGTCTTCTTGAGCCATTATTCAGAAAGGAAGTGACAAAAAATTCGGAATAGGTTCCATCACCTCAGAATTCCGAGGTAATAGAACCTAGGGGGCAGTTGTGGGGACATATTTTTTGAATACCAACACGTGGCATGGTGACGCCGACGTGTCAGCCGAGGTGCCACGTGCCCTGGTAGTTAAGCCGAGGTAATCTCGGAGAAGCCGAGGTAATCTCGGATAAGCCGAGGTCATCTCCGAAGATGTCGGAGTCCGAAGATAAGGGACAAGAGTCCTAAGGCAAAGAGGGGACTTAGTTAAGATAAGGATAAAAGCTCTTAGGGAGTTTATCTCTATCTCTTAAAGAGTCCAGAGTAAGCACTAAGATTGGAGTTCATAGAAGTCATACTTCTAGTTGGACTTGGATTGAGTATATTATAAAAGAGAGGCACCCCCGTGGGTCTAAGGTATGTAATTCAGACTTTGAGTATTCAGTTTAATACTTGATTATCCTTGAGAAACATACTGACTTGATCGTCGGAGTGCCCCCGGGTGGAAGAACCACCGCCGGAGCTTTCCTTTTCTGTTACAGGTTGCTGGAGCCATTTATTCTGCCGGTGCTTTGCTGCTGATCACTAAACGGGCAGTGTGGTCAGATTTTTACCCACACAATAATATTTAAATTTTTTATCGTAATTTGTGCGATGTATAGATGACAGAATAATATTATCATCTCTTTTATACTAAAATATATATTTATTTTTATTTATTACACGATATAAGACCAAATTCTCTTGCCACATCATTGTGGATGAATTTGTAGGTTTAAAAGTGTGGGTCTCTAGCATTTATCTTTCAATTTCTATTACCATTTGCATTAGTTTTAATCGTTTTAACCTTACTAAAAGAGAAATAAATGTAATTAATGTAATTATGTAAAACTTTTAGGGCTAACCGTGATTTTTTTCAAACCCCATGGGAGGTTAGTGTAATTTACCCTACAATTTATTTGCACCAAGTATTATTCACACTATGCACTTTTAACACCCACTGCTGGAAATGAGGGTTTTAGCGGCGTTTTTTAAACGCCGCTATAGGTCCCATAAACGCCATCTAAACCTTTTGTGACGTTTGCACCAAGCGCCGAAGATGCGGCCGTCGCTATAACTTTGTGACGCTTTAGAAACGTCGCTAAAACGCCGCTAAAAGTTCTACCATGACATCACCATGCTATTTAGCGACCTTTTTAAAACGCCGTCGTACTCTTTTTGAAAAATCTAACCGTTCATATAATATTTAGCGACGTTTTTAGAAACGCCGTGCTAGCCTCTTTTTTGAAAAAAAAAAATTGTGCTAATTTTATATGATTGAACTAAAAAATCTGAAAAATAACACTAACATGAAATAATAACTCTCATTCAAATATCAAATACAACATTAGTTCACTTTCCCATTCAATTTAATATCCAATCACTATTAATCACAAAATAACATATTCACAAATCATGTTTTAACAAAGACATTAACCGAGAAAGAAGTGTTGAGCTATAATGATTGATCCAACTATACAAGAGATGGCAAATTACTACCAAGAAAATTATCCCCAACTCAAGATATCACCAAAGTAAGAGACTATTGAACTTTAATAGATTGCATTTCAAAAATCTATTCCTGCCTGTAACATAAATTTCAAGTTTGGATGAGTTAAATTCAAATTGATTCAAATTGATGAGAGTTCACTGTTAGTCTTCATTGATCTACATACCTGCATCAGAACATAAATTACAATCAGATTCACCAAAATAAACAAACTTAATTTTCTTAATCACTTGATTGCATTTATTTATTTTTAATTGTTTAATTTTTTTGGTAGAGGTGGTTAGAGTTTTGCTCCTGACACAAATCTATGATTTAAGTTACAACTTTACTCCTTTAATAGTATTTAAACAAAAACTAGGGCTAAAATTTTAGTTTTCGTCCAGAATTGAAAAGAAGTTTTAAAAACAATTTAGGTTTTAACAGAAGTCTCTGTTTAAGGGATTTATTACATTTCTTTATTTATTATTTTTCCAAAAAAGACTAAAGCCCATCAATATAAACTTTAAGCCTATTGTTTTGACAATCAAAAAAAAAAAAAAAAGTTTCATTTTTTAAGCATTATAATTATGATATGGTTTTTAAGCATTATAATTATGCCAATTTCCACACTAGAAGTTTTTTATTGCATTAAAAAATAAAAAAATAAAAAAAAAATACTGTTCTGTCTAAGGAGACATTGCCATGAGGATCTTCAGGCTGTGGCATTTGAATGAAAGTTCTATTCAGATCAAGTTTGACCAAGAAAGTCATAATTTCATGTTTACCAAGCACTATAAGCAGATTATGGAAGGTGATGCACCTTTAGTAATAGACAAAAATATACCTCTATGGAAGTATCCCTTCTCTTAGCTGCTGCAACAAGTGTTTCAATGTTCAAAGCAAACCAAACCCTGTAGTAAATGAATGTTGCATGCCTACATAGATGGGATGCTCAAGAAATCAACACTAGAAAGGAAAAGTAAGGGATTTCATGGTGAAATAAGGATTTAATATCGAAAATGGCAAAGCATGATAAAATAACTTACTCGAAGTAATTGCCCTGGAAGAATGTAGAAACCCAGAAGAAGAAGATAATACAGCTGCTGGAACGCCAGTTGCATTCTGTGATGAGATCATTTGTAAAGACCGAGAGACAATTGGAGGCAAAGAACATCTTAGATGTGTAAATTAAAATAAATAAATAAAACCAATAAAAGAGTAATTTTATTGAAAACAATACATACAATGCCTTCTAAAGATGTACAGACGTCTATAAAGCTTACTTCAATCCGATTTATTCATTTTTGGAGGAGACTTTTTATTTTTTGGTAGATATTGTAGGAGTTACATTTTAGGGAAGGGATTTAGTTTTGGGGTTCTTGTGTCTAATTAATTTTTTTTTCTTTTGTTGTACAGGGGTGACACCCCCCTTGGTGTCCATCTGATATAGTTCCATACTTATTCATAAAAAATAAAATACAATGTAATACCTTCTGAGGATTAGGAATATCACTCAAGGAAACATTTGAAGAATTCCCAGGGGGTAAAATTGGTTTTTAGAAAATGCCTGAAGTGGAATGTGCTTTATGCCTGTCACCAAGTAAACCTTGGTGTATTTGTTGCACCGGGAGGGAAAAAGAGAGTTGCTTCCCATGCTGTGAGGACCTAGGTCCCACTAACTGCCACAAGGAATCAGGCATCTAATGTAATAAAAATAAAAAATAAAAACAAAAACACGAACCGCTAGAGAATGCTTCGCTTAATAAACTAAAGCAGCTCAAGCACAGAAAATGAGAATACAGAACACAGAGGCACTATCTTCTAAAAGTAAGAATACATGCAACTAGACATATCCGAGGCAAAAAACTATACACAGAAAATGGGGTCACTGAAAACAACTTGGTACGGCATGGCAGACTCCAACTAATAGCACAAATACAAAGCAGCACTTTAAAGATCATTTAATCTTCTACATGCTCAAGAATTCCCCAATCCTAAAATGTATTTCAAGAAAAATTAACAGCTTGATTGGAAACAAATTATTGATAGGGAGTATGAAGACAACCCTACTTATTGGTGTAGTCATTGGTCTTATTTGCAATGACCGGCCACCTCAACTCAATCTACAAAGGACATGGCTGTACATGAAGACACAGAGATATATATGTTGTGTGTGTGTGTGTTTTCTTTTTCTCAGTTATCTTATATGTCTTTTACATAAGCATTTAAGAAGATCAGGTTGAATTTTCTTGTAACCCTACTTGACTAAGTAAGATAATTGCAAGTACATCCATTCTTCATAATACCATAACAATTTTATAGAGCATCATAATAAATTAAAAGAACAAGGCTCTTTTATTGAAGCCAGCTATGGCTTCCAGCACTACTGGCGACAAGAAAAGGAGGCGGAGAACAAGAAGGGATCTTGAAGAAGATTGAAGCATGTTAGGGCTTTAAAATAACATTCCATTCTAACAAAAAAATATCAAACACAATAATAGTTCAACTAAAGTCAATCCAACAAGAAATAAATTTATCAAATTGATTGGTGTTTATGGGGTCTAAATACATTGCATGGGTCAATAGAAGAAACTAATTTTATACCTCCACCATCTCCACTGTAGTGGGAATAGAACCACTGTGGGGATCAGTAAAAGAACTGCTGCCTCCATTTGATATCAAGTGGCTTGATGATATTGTAGCCAGAGTATGCTTTATAAATGCAATAGGCCAAACAAATAACAGATAATTAAAATCTACTTCTAGTTGTTCTTTTATATGTTAAAACCATTATTCACACAAGTTTTGATGATTCTTCCACAATTGATGATGTCTTCCATACTCAGAAATCACTTGATCAAGCCAATTTAAGGCATAGAAGACTTCCTAATTGGGACGCATCTAATGGTGTGTCCAGTAAACATCCAATGTCCAGAGCATACTGTAGTTCTCCCCTATCCATATCTTAAAACAGAGAATTCACAACAGCAAAAATCCCAGCATGCAAATACAATTCTCTACTGCCATAAACTATTTGTGAGAAAACAATTTTATTTTTAACAGAAGGTATGCAAAGAATATTTTTAGATGATTGAGACAGGAAAGAAAAGCATAAACTAAATATATTTTGGCAAGTTATTCCCCACAATCAAGCTTCATGTGATGTAGTGATTAAGTATTCAACATTAAAAGGTTCCTCTGTTTTCAAAATTAGCTCTGTTGGTTTTCTTACGAGGTAGAGCAGAAAAAGTGTGACGATAGTTTTCCAAGAATGAAGGTACATAATGAGAACTAGTAACATAATATCTAGAAATATGTTATAAGATTGGAATTCTGTAGAAAATTGTGTTACTCAAAGAACCAAAAGCATGTATCAAATGAGCTGAAGGGAAAAAAATATAAGGAAAAAAGAAAAGGATTACGAAGGTTTTAACTAAAATAACAAAACTAAATAATATTTGACATTGCTAATAAAAATTAAAATATACCAAATAAATGAGTCAACAAAGAAGCTTCAAGTCAACTGATAATAAAAACAAGCAAATTCTAGTCAAAATAAATAAATAAAGAAAAAAAATCCAGTTTCGATCATTCATGTTGATAATGCAATGATTGCTGGTGTGCATCATATAGTTGTTATAGAAGAAACCTCCCCGAATATAGCAAGTCCACACACCATTTCAAGCATTAGCATACACTAAATGAGTATGTGTGTGATTAGAACCATCAATTTGATCCATTAATGTATATTAACTACAGTGACATGATTTGAAAATTGACCAAAAATATGTAAAGAAGTATTTCTTACCTGTGTAACAGGCATAGCAAAGAAATACTCTACAAAATCGAAGGGGGTGATGACTCGCAACCGCCATCTGAGCTTGGCCATGACAAAGACCTCCATACGTTGAACTGTTTTGGGCTCGAACATGAATTTTGGTTCTAATAGTTGTAAGTCTAACAAAAGAGGAACTCTTGTTTCCTCCATTTTGGTAGCCAGAGACAAGCATGCCACAAATAGTAACTGCCACAACCATCTTTTCCTCTCCTGTGTTGAACGATACTTGTTAATAATAAATAATAAATTTATTATTAAAATAAAATAAAATAAAAAACAGAGGAATTTGAATTTGGAGCCATGGATTAGTGTCTTCATTCAATGGTATGATTGATTTTGAGCAACGCTATAAAAGCACGATATGTGTGTACTTATCATTTCATCTCTTAGATTAGCAACCACATCGACTTTTGTAACACAAGCATATGCAGTTTATTCAATTCAAGGGCTAGTTACCAACAAGAAGCTTGTTATAAAATTTATAATAAAAAAAAACACAAGAAATTTTTTGAATTGATGACAAGTTAATATACGTTTGGGAGTGTTATGATTTTGCCTGGACGCGTGTCACGATATTCTAACTTGAAGTAGACAGACATGGTCCGACAATCTAAGTTTTGTACGACTGCTAACTTCTGAGTTCTATTGGCTAATAATGTGTCTGAACCCAACGACTTCTCGTTGGATTCAAAAACACCTGTTTTCAGTAATTAATTCCAAAAACTGTTTTGGGCAACAATTCACCGAAAAAGTGATCCATGTTTCTCAATATACCGAAACAGAAAACAAAAAACAGACAAACAGAGGTATGGTTACTAGTAAATGAAGAAGGAATTACCGGCAAGAATAGAGGAATCGGTCCAAGTAGTTAACAGAAAGATAAGCTGTTTCATCTCTGAAATTATAGTAACCATGCACCTAACAAGCAAAACACATTTTGTGAAATTGATTGCAAAACAGAGTAATAATTAGATATAGACACAAAATATGTTGTAATGTAATGTAATCTAAGCCATGTCAGACAATACCTTCAACATCCAGTCAATGGTATTAAGTCATGCCTCGGCAATCTCGACAATCTAAGCCATGTTAGACAATACCTTCTCAATTTTCTATGATAATCAAACAAAAAAAGAAGAAGAAAATAAACTTATGGAAAATGCCTACTCAATTTCTTCACATTTTTCAGAAAAAAATTTTTTCTTGACAATTCCAAGAACCAAACAAAGCTGTGAAGTCAAAATACACAAAATGGTAAGGAAGAGGCATACCCAGAGTAATGCTTTGATGGGAAAGTAGCATTGAAACCTGGAAGCTTTGTGATGAGAGAATTTGCAGGAACTGCTTCAGTTAGACCAAAATCCAAACACATGCAAAGCAAAATGAATAAGAATGTACAACCCATGGTCATGACCAAGTATTTTACATAAAAACCAATGAAATTGCAAGTCCTTTTAAGTGTGATGAATCAGAATCACACAATCATAAAAAATAAAAATAAATAAAAAAAACATAGGTTAGGGTGGAAATAGAAAGAATCAAAGGAAAAGGAATGAAAGAAGAAGGCAAAGCGGTTGGGAGAAACTGGGAAATGATAACAAAGGGGAAAGAATCATCCACAACACATGAAATGAGAGGAGAGTGAAATTAAAGAAGACTTTACTTTTTGGATTCATTCTCCCTTCCCTTTTAACACCCTGTTTTGGCATTTTGTAGGTTTTTTTTTTTTGAAACCTCCCTCCCTCCACACATGCAATGCAAACCTCTTCTATCTCATAGAACAATGAAGAGAATATGTGAAATTTGATCGGAGAGATTGAGAAAGTAGATTTGATATTACCATAATAGCAGATCGGAGAGACAGAGAGAGCAGATCTGATCAGATAGAGAGCAGATCCGAGAATAAGATCTACATCTCTACGTCGTTGAGCTTGCTTTGACTCACTGTTGGTAACGATCTAGATCCAACGCTGCTTGCTATCCTGTACGTGATCAAAGACATTAACACGACACTCAAAACCCTAGAAAAATCGATTTGAAAAGAGAAAATACAAAACAGAAGAAAAGAAATTAGAAATCAACCATAAATCGTTGGTTTAAGCCATTAAAGTCTACAGATCTTGTGTGAATGTAGCAAATCCATATAAAAAAACTCTAACCTTGAGCCCTAGATCACCTTAGATAAGAGGGATTCAAACAATATTACAGACAAACGCTCAAATCAAGTGTAGAACAAGCATTTCCAGATCATACAACCAAAGAATCGATAGAGATCGAAGATCCAAGGCCTTGATTTCTCTCTCTACCTCTCTCTCTCTCTCTCTCTCTCTCTCTCTAAAGCAACGCTGTGTTCTCTAAAGTCGCGCCTCTCTTTTGATCAGAGAAGTCCTGCCTCTTCAATCACAAGTAAATGTTATTTCACAATTTTTTTAATATTGGTGTACAAAACGAGATGAGTAATCAAATTTGTTCAAAATGAAAAAAAGTATAGGAGATTTGACGACGTTTTTCAAAAACGTCAGAAAAAAAAAACGTGGTGATAGCCTCTTTTTCTTGTAGTGACCAATCGGCATTGCGCACCACCGAGTATTTGTTAAGTGAACTACCCAAGAACTAACTACCAACGCGGCATGCAACGGGTATAAATATAGGCTCCAAGGGAATGACAATTGCCTACACCACTATTAATAATAGTATGTTGGTAACGATCTAGATCCAACGCTGCTTGCTATCCTGTACGTGATCAAAGACATTAACACGACACTCAAAACCCTAGAAAAATCGATTTGAAAAGAGAAAATACAAAACAGAAGAAAAGAAATTAGAAATCAACCATAAATCGTTGGTTTAAGCCATACCACTATTAATAATAGTATTTTTTTTCTTTCGATACAAAAATCTCCACTTTTTGTGTCATCAAAGCATGATTTCAATATTTCAATCTAGATTGACTGGTTTAGACTCTGTACTCAATTTACACACCACTTGCCTTAGCAACAAAAACAAACAGAGATGGCATATGGTTTTTGCTACAATCTATTGTTCTAGGGCCTTCTCTGCACTTGCTTGGAAGCCAACAAAAAGAGAGAGGTATTCCCTATTCTTCCTTCTAACCCAGTCGTTGTCATCGATGTTTTTGAACCTCCACACCCGTGTTCAGCAACATTGATAAGTCAAGCCTCACCCAACTTGCCAACAAGAAAAATCTAACCCAGCTGTTAGGGAAAATATATGACTCTCCACAAGTAAATTAATCAATGGGAATAAAAATTAATGCGGAAAAATTAAATCAAAAGCAACACAAGAATTTTACATGGTTCCCTCAACGTGAGGTACGTCCATGGGATCGAAATCCGATTCCACTATCAATCAAATAGTTTCCAAACGATTACAAACGAGACACTAATGGTCTCACAAACCACCCTTAGGTGAATTCCAAATAATCACAAATAAACAAGAGGAAAGACCTCACCAAATAGATGGACCAAAATCTTCAGAACCAGAGTTGAAGAAGACCCAAAATAATAACCCAAATCAACTCCACCAAAACAGCCGAATAAACACCAACTTGATTACCCAAAAAACTAGTGCACTTGAATATGCAACCAGGGATTAATCAGCCAGCAAGCTTTTGCTTTAACCACAAAACCCACTGAAAAATATCAATATGTAGCCACTGCTATCGCACCACACCGAAACACACAAAACCAGCCGCGCCTCTTTTTTCCTTGGGAAAAACAATGCCAATCATATGTATTGTGAATCTAGGGTTTTTTTTTATCAAAACCTTAGTTGTTTCCAAACTAAATTGGGTCTCCACAAAATTAGATATAATATATAAAAATATATTATACCTAAACCAAACCAAATTAAAACTCTTTTAGTAAACCAATTACGTCCCACACTCCAATAAGGAGGTATACCCAACAATTCTCCCCCTACCGACTTAGGTGGAGAAATCAACCATACCCGTCAAAGTTCGGCACTTTAAATGTTTGTCCCTTGACAAAGTCTTTGTCAACATATCTGAAATATTATCATCTGTGTGAACCTTTTCGAGTTGTAACAATTTCGAATCTATCACATCACGAATCCAATGGTATCTCACATCAATATGTTTCGATCTCGAATGAAAAGTAGAATTTTTGCTCAAATGAATAGCACTTTGACTGTCACAATAAATCACATACTTTTCTTGCTTCAAACCCAACTCTTGCAAAAAATTTCTTCAACTATAACTCTTCTTTGCAAGCTTCCGTAATGGCAATAAATTCAGCTTCGGTAGTTGAGAGAGCGACACATTTTTGTAATTTAGATTGCCATGCCACAGCTCCCCCTGCAAAAGTCATCA